AGATTTAAAAAAAAGAAACGAGTTTGCTGCTGTTTCGTTACAGTATCCAAAGGTGGGGGGAGCCAGAGGCTTTTCCCCCTGTTTTTGCTTTTCTGCAATGTTTTCATTCATCATCCTCCAACCAAAAAGGTTAAAACTAAGGAACTAGTAGGATGTCATCAAATAGCAAGCAAATGCAAGCTGATTATGGGGGAAGCCATTTTCATTCAAAACATTTAAACTGCTTTCTGCTATCACAGAAACAAAATGCTGGATGGATACAATGGGATTTTACCAGCCCTCACCACCTATGCTGTTGAGGGCTGAAAAACAGCCTGCTCAACCCGCTGACAGGCCTCCAAACACACAGCAACAGAGACAAGGCAAAGGAAAACTTCACCTTCCTGAGTTTTCCAGAATAAGAAGTGCTTACATATGTATATACCCATTCAAGTCTTCTTTGGATCTCCAAACACTCAGATAGAGGGGCACCGGGTTCCTTCTGATCATCTTGGCAAGCAGCTTAACTGCTTTCATTGTGGAAAGGGCTGAAGAACTAGGAATAGAAACTACAACTTCAATTTAATACTGGCAGAGCAACGGGAACAAAAGAAGAACTGACAGGCATCCCAAGCTGGCAGTCTAAGTGCTGACTCTCAACCCCTCCATAGAAATTAGTGGTAAGACCAATCTTCTTCACCAAACGACTTAAGCAGATCTCAGAAAAGCCGACAGGATGATTAGCTTCTCTCCTCAGTTCACTACTCACAGGTCTTTAGTTTCTCTTCCCCTCCCTTACTGCCTCAGGTTATCCACTGCCAGGGGCAGAATGATGCACGGGTGCTACAAGGAGCGCTGTTCAGCCAGCTTCATCACAACATGCCTGCTGGGGTAGCATACTTTGCACAACACTAATTCAGGGCCTCCCTTTTTGCACAGACACGGAAGAGGAAGGAACCATCCTTCAGAATAAGAAAAACAAGAAGTCGGAGGCACAACAGGCAGGTACCTCTGCCCTTACCTCACTCCAAGATGATAAATCTGCTTTGGAAGTTCAGAAGGAAATCTATGCCCCAAGTTGTGCACGATACAGGATAAGGAGGCAAGAAACTAAATCATGTGTACAGCTCCTCAGTACACATTTCAAATCTAGGGATTAGTTAAAAGCAAAGCACTTGAATTCCCAGTCTTAATCTCCAGTGTCATGCCTAATGGGATATCACTATGGGGGAGAATCTCTCTCTCAGAACGCAGAGGAGAGTCTACTTAAGAAATCATATAAGGATCTGCATGAAACTGTGCTTTTTATATTGGGTCAAAATTAACATTTAAACAAAAAAAGGGTTGCATAAGATGCAATGAAGGAGAAAACAATGCCCATCCAAAGATTTAGGAAAAGGGAAGGGGGGGGGAGGGACCCAGAAAAGTGACTACATTAAAATTAATTCTATTCAGAAGCTGATTTGTACCACAGTGACACCAGAAATCTCGTTTTCTTGTCTGGGATATTAGAAAACTAATATCCCAGACAAGAATTTTAAGTTGCCAAATGACTGAAGTGGTGAGCGAGAGGTCAGAGACATCCCCCACACTCTTTTCTCAATAGGGAAACATGCAAAGTTCTGGATCTTGCCACCACCAACTGGAAGAGAGAAATATGTCCACAGATAACGATCATGAACTTAACTACTTTCCAGCTAGGGTGGCCATCATAGAGGACAGTCCAGTTGTCTTCTGTCGATACAAAACCAGACGGACGCCTTAGAGAAAAAATAGAGGACATAAAGATGTCCAGTTTCGTATCGACAGAGGACAAAGGACCGAGTAGCAGAAGACTGGAATGTCCTCTATGATGGCCACCCTATCTCCAGCATCTCTCCCACCTGCAAACACACACACAAAGCAACCACCATACAGACATCAAGTTCAGTTTACCGCAGCAAGCAAGCAGCATTTCAGGAACTCAAAGCACTTTGGATTTATGTGAATAAGTAAGTGTCTTCCCAAAACCCAGGTCTTTCAGCCCCCAACTTGTCTGCTTAAGGAATACATGCACACTTGGGGCTGCATAGCTGCTTGTGCCTAATCAGGACAAGGGAACTTGTCAGCCAAAGGCACAAAGATCAAGGCAGAAACGGGATTAGGAGATTTGTAGAGGAACTGCCCATTGTCTGTTATTGTTTAAGACTTAACACAAACCAGAAGATGCAAGGCTGTAAAAGCCCAACAGCACCTCCAAAGCTTTGCAGCTTGAAAGCAGCAATGCAAAAATGCCAAGGGCTGGTCATCAACTGATTAGTCTAATGCTTTTCACTCTGGTTCTGTTATTCCAACTAAGCCCCAGCATGATACCTTCTGAACAGCCATATGCTCAATGAAGATCTCCTAAAACCAGAGCTCAGCAACCCTTGCAAGATGGTGTACATCCTCTACACTAAAATGAATGGTAATCCCACCCTCTGCCTGGCTGCAATGGGCCTGTGTATTTTACCATCCTCCAACTAAGTACCTATTTAGCCCTATGCCTACAGGGTGATCTGCCAAAACGATGCAATGAGTGACTGCTCTCCTGGTTAGCTTCTAATCTACAGTCTGGATTTCCAGAAATGGACAGCTCTCTGGAGACTACTTGGAAAAGTAGCAGGGTAGCCTGCATCAGGGAAGTAGGAATCTGCAGACAGAAAGCTGGCATAAGCTCACCTTTTCCTGTCAGGGTACCAGATCCTGAGGTGGGACTTGCTGCAAACTTAATTGATTTTTCCAAGCTCCATTACTGTATCTGAATTGTTTTTCTTAAAAATAATTTGCATTTCTGGTTAAAATTTCCTGCTGGTTCCCTTCTCCCCCACAACATGCTACAGAGACCCAGCTATAATACCAATTTGCTGACAAGAGGCAGAACAGCTGTTCACTGGGAGGCCAAGGGGTGTTGAGTTTTAGACCTTTAAAAGCAACTTCAGCTGTATAACAGAGGGAAAAAAATGGATTGCAAAGCCCTGATGTTTCCCCAGTGCTGTTTGACAATCAGTGCCTCATCAGGAGAGCTGAACCAGTTTTGGAAATGGGCCATTTCTCCTGGAAAGAAGAAACTTCAAGACGCCCCTTTTAGAGACAAAGATTACTCTCTGACTTCAAGCCAAGTGGCTGCGAACACATCATCCAACTCCAAAAATACACGTGTTTCCAATTTACGGAAACACTCCTGGGTTCCAGGACTGAAACGAGACACCAGTACAGTAGGGGATGTTCTAAAACAATGACTCTAATCCAAATTCTTTGGCAGTTCCGTCTCCACTGTGCTTCTCCGTCCAGGAAATACTTCCAAAAGATGACAGAAATTGTTGTGCAGGGAAATGATCTTATGGAACCAGCAAGTTCCTGACAGAATCTCTCCCTTGCTAAACATGCACCCACATCTACCAGCAAACACATTAGACTGACCCTCTAGTCAACTTCTAGTGCCTACTTCTAGCTCTTCATCACCCAAAAGAAACAAGACTAAGCAGATCATTTGCCCAGATCATTCACAGAGTTGAGAACAGCACCGACTTGGGGGTGCCCAGGAACTGTTGGGTGAAATCACAGCAGGGACTGTCCTCCCCAGTGGGCAGGATTGCAGTAGATCCCAACTGTCACTATGGCAAGCAGCAGTGCAACTCTACCAATTTTAGCAGTGGGAAGCCAGTATACACCAACTATCATCACCAAGCTGTCTAACCTCGTTCCGTAGACCTCCTTTGAACATGCTTGTTAAGGTGTCAGCAGTTACCCACAGCTCTCCGATTCCAATCCCACTGTTGCCAACCAGTCTCTAATGTAGATAAGCCCTGCCACAGGGGCTGGATGCACCTCTAGACAGCTTTGATCTGGGCTAGTTTGAACTGTGCTTCACGTGTGAATCATTTTTATGCAGTCTGTGGTTAGGACATGGCCATTTTGCAGGGATTCTTGGGCAGAAGCTCTTGATCCCAGCCAAAAAAAAAAAAAAAAAAAAGAGGAGGTGGTAAGATTAAGATGCATGAGCAGACTTTTGCTGGTGACTATACAGGCTTGCTTATAAAACACCAAACATTTGGACACTGAAGAGCTTGAAACCATTAGATGATAGCTTCCCTTTTGTTGCTAAGGCAGACATCCAATGTCCAGCAACAGCTGCCATCCCACCAAAAGGGGCTGCACTGACAACAGCTGTACTGTGTTAAAAGGTCTCTGCGGATTACAGCTTGTCCTCCTAGCAGGTAACGGAGATGCCTGCTCCAGGCTTCCAGCTCGCTCTGGGCCCTGCCAACTAACTGTGCTGTGTTACTCAAGTCACCTGGCCAGAGAGAGCCTTCACACTGCTCTATAGATCCATTTAAAGACGAGAACAGATGCTCAGGAAAATCCTCATAGTCCTGGGAAACCAAATCCAAGGTTGAACTGAGAGTGTTGCTATGACCATTACCTAGATATTTTTGCTGGTATTTGGTATTTATTTTGGATTTGGTATTCCATCCACATTGTCAGAAACACCATAAATCCTGTTCCATTTTTACAGGCTGGAGCGAAGGCGAGTGTGACTCACTACACAGTAAAGAAGCCTTCACAAAACACTGCAGTATATGACTCAGATGAGAATACAGCTGAAACACCATTCTTATCAAGATATAAACCATATCCCAATGATTCACTTGGGGGGAGGAGGAGGAGGGGAAGGGGTCTGTGAAGAGACCCAAGAGCCATTTCTGAAGACAGAGCCTTTCCAAACAACACTTGGAAGCCAGGAACATGAAAGCCACGTCCCTCTGGAGTGGTCCATGACACTACGTATGCAAACCTCCCTCCAGAAAAGGTCACCGAATTCTTACCTCATCCTAACCTCCTAGCAGACTCCCCATTATCATCTCCCTTCCTCATCATCATACACATTTGACCCTCTTATATGATCTGCTGATTACTGGGAAGCTTTACAGGACCGCGGACTTTCAGCTAAAGAAGCAGTAAAAGAGGGTTAAGCTAGTTTAAAGAAAGAAAATTAATACCTCCCCCCAGTAGCATTCTTCTCACGTCACTCTGCTCGAACCTGTGCCAAGCGACTGCACAGTGACAGAAGGTGGGAGGGGATGAAAAGCAAAGCCCCACCAATAGATCCTGATTTAGAGGCCTTCCATGGCCAGAGGGCGTAATGATGCATCCCAATCCAGCTGAGTCCATTTCAGACCCTGCCACGGTGTTGCCATAAGAACCCCTCAGCGAGCTCTCAGACAAAAGGAGGCTGCCCTAATGTCTTGGTGCACCATGGTCCCAGCTGTCTTCAGGCAAATAGGCTCCAAACAGTTCCTCCCCACCCCCCAGAGAAGAGACAGGACTGGATGCAGCACTTGCTACATGCAAAACGAAGCAGCTTTAAATGCCACATTTGTGTATAGGCCAGGCTGTCACCACAGGTCCCACAAGATGTAAGGAAGATTCAGACTTCAAAGAACAAGCAAAGCGTGCGCAACTCGAAAGCCACACGGGCTCCGCACAGGTTTCAGGGGACATCACTTGTCCGCTGCTCGAGCGCAACGAACGCTTGCTTGTCACTGCAACGAGAGCAAGTGGAGACAAAACAACCTGTGATATCGGCCGGCCAGCCTGCCCGCTACCGAGAGCGCACGCCTCCCACAAGACAAAGGACACAGCCACGCTAAGGGACCACACCGGGTCAGCAGACAGTTTCCCGTGGAAACAGAAACACAAAAATAAGTCCATGTTTGTTCATCCGTTCTCAAGAAAACAGTAAGCACCGTCTTTCCCCAGCCCCTTCTCCGACAGGAGTTGGGGATCTTTCCCTGGCGGGGTCGGGGAACAAGCAGCTGATGCCTCACGACCAGTTCGAGCCCCCGGCACGCCGGCCTGAAACCTTCCCTAGACAAAGGTACACGTCTCTCCGCCTCCATCATAAAGCCAAATGCAAGCCCTGTCCTGCCGTGCCTAGCGCTACTCTCCGTCCCGGTCGGCGCGGCGCGGCGCGGCGCGGCGCGAGATGCCACCCGGGCGGCTTAGATGCAAAAACCGCCTCCTTCACCACCGACAAAAAAAAAAAGGATAAAACCGGCCGAGCGGATTCTCCCGAGGAAACCCGGACGGCTCCTATCCCGCTTCCTTCGTCAAGGACCGCTCGTGTTTGGGAGGAAAGGAAAGAGGAGCCCGTGTCGGCGCAAGGATGAATCAAGCCACAGTCAACTATG